TATCAATAATAAAATTAAGAATACTAAGAAATAATAAAGGATGTAATGAATTATACTTTTGATGAAGATTAATATGATTTAATAGAGGATGAGTATCTTGATGAAAATAAAATTTAATATATTAGCAGTAAATTGTAAGAATAAGATTTACAGGATTATTTGCTATTTTAGTTTGAAATATTAAAAAAACAAATTAACAAATATTTTTTTTAAATATATTCAGATCCTCAATTTAATATTTAGATAAAAGAAAAATACAAAATATTACTGATAGAGGGAACAAAAGATTTCTTATTTCTTATTTTCATACAAACTGCAATAATAACGAATAACAAGTTTTAAAGATGCAGATTAATTATCATTACATATAATTAAAAAGATTTTTCTATTTTTAATAGATTTGAAATAGATATTAATTATAAAATTTATACAGCAAAAATTATATGCAATCACTAATTAAATTAAATAGCATTATATACTAATGAAATACTTTGTTTATATGATGTCAATAATTAAGTTCTCGTTTAGTATGTTTTAAATTAATCATAAAATGTTTTAATTTTTTATCATGAAACTATATTGTAAATAGAGAATTCAATATATTTGAATAAATTGATTTATCAGAACTAAGTATTCACATCTAATAGAATAAGTTTAATTAACTCATATAAAAAGCCATATTAACTTCTATTATACTATGATTACTTAATAATATATTTTGAAAAAATTGTAAGTATCATTTATTGTAAAAATGGAAAATCATTGTAAATTAAACGGAATCTTACAAACTTACCTGATAATTCTGAAAAAGAAAGCTGTATTAGTAATAACAGTAAATTAATATACTAATTAGTGCATAAGGATAAATTCCATTCTTTTATATATTAATTTTCTTTGCTAAATGGGAAAATCATAAGAAAAATAAGAAATTTAGAAACATCTTAATCTACTCATATTTACTTAATAAAATTTGATAAATTATTGGTATCTATTTCATAAGATTATATTGAAGTTTATAGTTCAATTTTAGCAAAGTAACTTTTGTATCTTCATATAAAAAATCAAATGAGATCATCTGAATCATTGTTAAAGATTATTAACAGTAAGTTCTTAGTAAATTTTGATTATAATAAATTATCAATTTGGAAATAAAACTTAAATGATATGAATTTCCTAATCAATAAACTTAAAACAGCTGATATTCATTGAAATAAATATAATATATTCACAAATAATAAAAAATTATTATAATTAATGTTAGAGATTTTATATTGATTTTTGTGTTATTCTCTTAAATTAAGTATGCAAATAATTTTTACAAACTTAATGTTGAATTTAAGTGATTCCCCTATTTCCAATCTATTTGAGAAAAAAATAATATGAATTAAATTGCAATTTTAGGAATTTCTAGGGATGAAAGTAAGAGAAAATTTTGGGTTTATGGGTTTTTAAAATTTAGAAAAATATTTAAATCTTAGAGAATGATCTCTAAAATTTGAACAAAAAGTAATAAGATTTTTGTCTTAAGATAAATAAATATATTCTTTTATAACAATATAAGTGATTATAAATGAGACAGTATTCCTTCTTTAAAACTTTTTATAACATTCATTATTAAAATGTTGATATTTAAGTTTAATTTTGAAATTGCTATAAATATTAGATATCTTATCAAGAATTTCGAGAAACAAAGAATTTTGGGGAGGCAATCTCATCTTTAAACTTGATCCCATTCTTTGCATTGCCTCTTATAGCAAAAAATATTCTATTGATAATTGATTTCTAGAACTTTTAATAAGGATACGCTAGAATGATTTAATTGAAAAACCTATTTTATCCATCTCTACACATGTAAATGCAACTACTTGTTGGTTAAAAAATTTAAGAAAGAATAATACAGGATTATAATTTTTAACTTGGGAAGACTAAAATCTTTTTAAAAAGGTAACTGAATAATAATCCAAAAAATATTGAATATTGTAGATTAATCACAAGATAATAAATTTTAAGAAAGGAATGATTGAACTTTCATTTTATTTTTTTTCAAGGTTATTATTCATCAAGCAGAGTTTCATTAAAATTTAATCGTTTTCCGAAACATTCAGTGACAAAGTCATATATTAGCATTTGCCTGTCTTAATTGATCTTTTTTATTTTGATAAAATTACTTCAAAATATGGTCAATATGATTCTAAAGGTTTAAGCAAAAATTCAAAATTTTAAGAAGTCATCTAGTTAATAATAAGTTTACTCTATAGTAACTTATAAGTGGTTTCACATTATTTAAAAATCCGATAAAATTAGAAATATATGAATACAATATTAAAATTTGATTGAAATAAAATTTAAATTATTTAAATTAATATAAAATAAATCACGATAAATGAAA